ATTGGCAGAGCGACGTCATCGAAGCCTGTTGCTGCTGGCGCTGTGCAAGGTGTCGTATTAGTAAGTATAGCTGCTGAAGCACTTTTGAACGACAAGCATCATCGACAGATGTGGATGCAAACAAGATACGGCCCTGAAGCAACGGTCGCCAAAGATCGTTGCGATCCTTGAGGCAGTCAGTTGTAGTAAGCGTAGCTTATGCTTAGTCGTATCGACCATACACTCGCCAAGTATCTCTAGCGAAGACGATAATAGCACAGCGCGTCGCAACAGGAATTCAGCAAAAAAGACTTTTGAGACATTGGCGTGCAGAGAGTGCATCAACTTTTTTTTTTTAACTTATCCCAAATATACCCGATCTGACAGAATCCTCGACAAACACACACGTTCGTTTCGGGGGCAATCAGTTATTGGAGCGATTCCCGCAACCATATGAGACCTTTAGAATCCTAGACTGGTGTCTGGTTCCAACTCTTCGACTTGGAGTTTGGAGTTTGGAATATACTGCATTGACCACAGCATTATTAAATAAAGTTGTTGAAATACTGGGGGGGAGAGAATAAGGCAGTGTTTAACTTAACAGCTGTCAAATAAGACAATTGGGCTTCTCAAAAGGCGAGCTACGCTGACTACGATATTTGAAAAAGTCTACAGTACAGTACGGTTACTGTGCAATGTTGCGCTATGGCACAGGTGGAGGAGAAGAACTTATTCCTGACTCGGAAGGAGTGTTAAGGCTCGGAGAGTGATGTTTCGACCAATGCAGAGAGCTTTTTGACGTATGGCAAAAAGCAGAGGGTTGGAAATGCTTCAACCGCGACGTCGCTGGAAAGTGACGGAGGCACCGGAGTAACTTGGTGCGGTCAGCAGGATCGGAAAACCTAAGCAGCGATCGGAAGTGAGCGTTGAAACAGGAGTAAATCTGGTAGATAGCCCTGTTTGCATCCAACGGAGGTTTGTCCTCGAAGACGTGCTTGTTACGCGCTGTCCAAATGACGTGAATCGCGATAGAACGAGTGATAGACCATAGGGTCTTAAGGACAGAAGCTCGACGAGCTGCTTCCTCAGTCCACTTCGGCTCATAGGGGAAACAAATCAGTTCCCACGTAATATCATCGAAGAAATGGCGCCAGTCGGTCTCGATGTCACTCCGCAGAGGAACGACATGAACGCACTCGAAAAAGAGATGCCGTTCCGTTTCCACATTGGTGCAGCCGTACCCGCAGTTAAGAGCGAATGGTGAAGAACGCCGTAAGAACCAGAAACGGGAGCGCGTCGGTAAAAGTTTCCAGGCTAGACGAAATTGGAGATTGTGGTGAAGCGACAGTTGGCTTTTGCGAACAAGAAGCTGATTG